GTCATTCTCTATACATGATCTATAGCTACCAATTGAAAAGCCAATTAATAGTCACAAAAATAAAAACCTGTGTAAAATTATTCCATTTACACACCCAGTATAATCACCCAACAAGCCACAGATATGCCATCAGGCTAAAGTTGTCACATGTTTAATTCTCGGAGAAAGATCAAAGGAGTTAGTAAATGGCTGGATTATTGACTTCTTTCATACAGGAAAAAAAAACCTGACCAGTTTCTCAGAGAATTCTATGCTCCATCACATTTTGATATTGGGCACGGTGCTTGAGGAAAATGAATGAGATTTTAATGCCGCCAGAAACAACCAGTCTAGACACGACTGGTAAATTTTAAGAAAACACAATACCAAGATGAAGTGGACCATTTCAAATGAAATTTATCACCAATTTTCTTTGCATCAATAACTTTTGTGAAAAAAAATCAATTACTCCTTACTGGAAAGAAATTGTAACTATGTTTATAAAGTTTTTGATTAAAAGAACACAATTTATTAAGTGTTACAGAAGTTTTAAACCACCGATCGCAGTGGATATGGGCTACAAGGCCTTCCCTTCATATAGATAGAGCATTGATGGGTAGGAATGGATTGATAATGTGGTCTCCCATGTTCTCCAATTAGTCCTATTAGAACTCATTATCAGAGCCAAGAACAGACTATGAATATTAACATTCTCATATGAAAAAAATCCCATCTTTGGGTAAATATTGGGAATACAAATACAACTCTTTGTACAAACAAACATTACAAACTTGTAGGCAAAATGAGTTCCTAGTTCACTGAAAACAATGCGTTGGGTATAGACTGGTGCATTACAGCAATGTCTGGAAGAAAACTAAAGTCATGACTTGGTAGAGCATGATCCCTGTTTGCCCTATTCTTTTAACTGCATTGCTCCTTTAAAGCTTATGAATTGTATATATGCATACTTAGCTGATGAAGGGACTCATCCTATTATTATCAACTGGGTGACTTCAGAAAACTAATGAAAGCTGATATTATACCACACAAAAACTCTTTGCATTGTATTATTAAATACTGTTTTATAATCTGAAATTAAGTTTATGCCAATCTCTTTGCAAAGCAGTCCTTAGGGGCATATTTATAAAGTGGTGAATGACTTATTCACCAATCAGTCTTCACTTTTTCATAGGGCTCTTGCCATCATATCATTTGTTGAGTAGAAAAAAAAAACATTTACTGGCAGAATTTGCCCAGCTGAACAGCTTTAACTGAAAAAAAAAAACTCACACACTGATTTTTTCCTCATTTTTCAATAAGGAATGCAGTTGTAGTTTCAATATTACATTGCCATCCATGATTGGTCTGTATTTTTAGCAGGAAAACATTGTTTTATTTTACCTATGGCAGGGGTGCTCAATCTTTTGATGATTAAGAAGGCCAGTTAAGTGATCTGGTAACCTCTCACAGGCAACAATGAAATGAAATTGTTCAGAATTATGAATGTTTTATTTTGACTAATATAATGAATATTTTCCTGAATTTACCGAATGCCAACAAGAGGGAGGGAAGGAGAAGCTGGCTTTTAGTGGTTGCAGGAGGAGGACTGGTTCCTGTATATGCCACCTCCACCGCCCCTCCTGTCCAAGTGTAAAACAGGATATGACAAGGAGGCTGCACTGGCCCCCTGGAGCATGGGGTGCAACCCCTGATGCTACACAAGTGGTTGGGGGTGTGGTAAAACATGTCTCAACCATGTCCTGAGCCCCCTATAGGGCAGCATAACACTGCCCTGTGGTTTAACTGCAGAGTGGTACAGCGCAGTCTTTTCTGCGGGTTAGCTATGCTTTGCCATAGATTTTTATTATATCTTGCGGATGTGGTGAACATTTTGAAAGCACACCAAAAAACTCCTGAAAGCAGGTCCTGGTGCTAATATTCCCATTGCAAAAGCTCAGTGTATGTGATATTTAATACACTGACCTTCTTTTCATCTTCCAATTTCAGCTAGCATCGCTGTCCGTTTCCAGGCTGCTAGAAAAGGTCCCAAGCGAGGTGTACTTAGTATCACCCCACCAGGGACAGGAGCTGGTGCTACAGAGGAAGCATTGGCTTATGTGTCTCCTGCTTCATCTGCAGCCAACTGATTCCTCCACTGCCAGCATCAGCTCTATGCATTCTGATGCTCTGAGATGACAGGTCAGCAAGCACCCCTAAAATGAAATATCAGGTCTCTGGGAATCCTTGCTAAAACCAATTAATTTGGGGTAAATTGGGAAAAAAAAAACGCTCATTAAAATGATGGTCAGTAAGAATAAACACTATATTGCCAAAAGTATGAATATACCCTTCCAAATAATTAGATTTGGGTGTTCCATTCACCTACATGGCCACAGGTCTATAAAATCAAGCACCTAGGCATGCAAACTGCTTCAACAAACATTGAAAGAATGGGTCACTCTCAGGAGCTCAGTGAATTAAAGAATTAAAGGGTGGTGCTGTGATAGGTTGCCACCTGTGCAATAAGTCCATCAGTGAAATTTCCTTGCTACTAAATATTCCACGCTCAACTGTTAGTGGTATTATAACAAAGTGGAAGCAACTGGGAACAACAGCAACTTAGTCATGAAATGGTAGGCCACATAAAATGACAGAGCATGCTGAAGTGCGCAGAAGTCGCCAACTGTCTGCAGAGTCAATAACTAAGGACCTCAAGACTTAGTGTGACCTTCAGATTAGCACAAAAACCATGCAAAGAGAGCTTCATGGAATGGGTTTCCATGGCCGAGCAGCTGCATCCAAGCCTCACATCACCATGTGCAATGCAAAGCGTCTAGAGCAGTTGAGACGTGTTCTCTGGAGTGACGAATCACGCTTCTCAGTCTACCAATCTGATGGACATGTCTGGGTTTGGCGGTTGTCAGGAGTACTTGCCTGACTGCATTGTGCCAAGTTTGATGGAGGGGGGGGATTATGATGTGGGGTTGTTTTTCAGGGGTTGGGATTGACCCCCTAGTTCCAGTGAAGGGAACTCTTAAGGCATCAGCATACCAAGACATTTTGGACAATTTCATGCTCCCAACTTTGTGGGAACAGTTTGGGGATGGCCTCTTCCTGTTCCAACATGACTGCGCACCAGTGCACAAAGCAAGGTCCATAAAGACATGGATGAGTGGGTTTGGGGTGGAGAAATTTGACTGGCCTGCACTTCAACCCGACAGAACACCTTTGGGATGAATTAGAGCGGAGACTGTGAGCCAGGCCTTCTCATCCAACTTCAGTGCCTGATTTCACAAATGCACTCCTGGAAGAATGGTCAAACATTCCCATGGACACACTCCTATACCTTGTGAACAGCCTTCCCAGAAGAGTTGAAGCTGTTATAGCTGCAAAGGGTGGGCCAACTCAATTTTGAACCCTACGGACTAAGACTGGGATGCCATTAAATTTCATGTGCGTGTAAAGGCAGATGTCCCATTACTTTTGGCAATATAGTGTAGTTTTCTCAGCAGAGGTCAGAATACCACAATTACAGACAACTAAAAATATCACCAGTACCATACTGCTGGCTTTGTCAAGTGGCGCTGGTCATGGAACCGTGCAGGCTCCATCAAGTGGGGGGGTCAATGAGCCACAGCTGAATGAACCCCAATCAAAATTGCCTCCTAACATTCACGGTCATTTTAGATGGGAGATCAAGATCCACCATTGCTCAAGGAACCCCTAGAAATATCTGGAAGAACCCTGTAGTTCCACAGAACCCTGGCTGAGAATGGCTGCTCTAGGGTCATTTGTATTAATATGTTTAACTATGAATCAGACCTACTTCTCAGCGACCACTCTGACCTGTCCTGATAGCCTGAGCCCTGGTTCACACTGAATGCTACTTTCAAATAATGCTTCTTCAGCTGAAGTAGCGTGATTTCAAAGCCACTGGCCAGTGCAATTTCATGCCTCACCTGATGAAAATAGAAAAAAACAAGGCCTAAAAGGGAAATGAATGCAGCCATCACAGCTAAGAATTGGTAAGCTGCGGTATAATAAATGTTTGATCTTGGGTTTAATACTGCTTTAAGCAATGTCGATAGTCATTCCATAGCCTAAACATTGCTCCACACAAAAAACATCTGTCTGCAATGGATATGTCCAAATAAAAGAACATCATACAAACACGTATAATGTCAGTTGTTGGACTGCATCCTGAATAATAATGTATATCCTTTTCCCTTGTGGGCCATTTAGGGGAAAAAGGAACTGAAAATAAAACACACTGTAGGTGTCATACTTTGTGAAGAATGGGATATAACTTCCTGAGAAACAGCAACCGATTATGTACATGTCTACTGTCAATGTCAGTGACATGAGCCAGTCTGCCTTGTTTAATAAAATTTATTTACACATTTCTAATAATTAATAAAAATGTATTAATTCAGTTAATTAAAGGTGTACTCCAGGTAGATATAAAATGTATAAAATTATTGCAGCTCTGTATTCATTCATGTATCCCTAAATTTATTTTTTAATGCAAGCAGTGAATTCAACTTGGTATCTGCCTCCTGCAATCTCCAGTGTGGCAGAGTTCAGACTGGGAGAGGGAGAGCTGCACAAGGTGCCAGTCAGTTGTTCTGCAGTACAAGGAATATGCTGATAGAAGGAGAATGCAGAGAGACATGGAGCATATCAGTCTGCTCTTTCCCCTTTTACTATTCAGTCACATAGTGACGGTGGAGAGGAGACCTGTAAGTGTTACTGAAATGCAGTAGAGAAAAATCGGGTCTTCTGCCCTGCCAGAAAGCATGGTGCTGTGTGGCAGTGCCATGTAAATCTCAGGACTGGATTTACTGAAATAAAAAAACTTTTTGACTAAAACAGCTAATATATATATATATATATATATATATATATATATATATATATACATACACACACTATATTGTCAGAAATATGGGGGCACCTCTCCAAATCATTGGATTCAGGTGTTCCAATCACCTCAATGGCCACAGGTGTATAAAATCAAGCACCTAGGCATGCAGACTGCTTCTTCAAATATTTGTGAAAGAATGGGTCGCTCCCAGGAGCTCAGTGAATCCAAGCGTGGAACTGTGATAGGTTGCCACCTGTACAATAAGTTCATCTGTGAAATTTCCTTGCTATTAAATATTCCACGGTCAACTGTTAGTGGTATTATAACAAAGTTGAAGCAACTGGGAACAACAGCAACTCAGCCACGACGTGTGCAGAAGTCACCAACTGTCTGCAGAGTCAATAGCGAAAGACCCCAAACTTCATGTGGCTTTCAGATTAGCACAACAACAGTGCGTAGAGAGCTCATGGAATGGGTTTCCATTCCAACTGCATCCAAGTCTTTTCATCACCAAGTGCAATGCAAAGCATCAGATGCAATGGTGTAAAGCACACCGCCACTAGACTCTAGAGCAGGGGAGACGTGTTCTCTGGAGTGTTCTCTGGAGTGACAAATCAGGCTTCTCTGTCTGGCAAGTTGATGGAAGTGTCTGGGTTTGGCAGTTGCCAGGAGAACAGTGCTTGCCTGACTGCATTGTGCCAAGTGTAAAGTTTGGTGGAGGGGGGATTATGGTGTGGGGCTGTTTTTTCAGGAGTTGGGCTTGGCCCCTTAGTTCCAGTAAAGGGAACTCTTAAGGCATCAGCATTCCAAGATATTTTCAACAATTTCATGCTCCCAACTTTGTAGGCACTGTGTGGGGATGGCCCTTTTCCTGTTCCAACATGACTGTGCACCAGTGCACAAAGCAAGGTCCATAAAGACATGGATGAGTTGGTTTGGGTTGGAGGAACTTGACTGGCCTGCACAGAGTTCTGACCTCAACCTGATAGAACACCTATCAGTATGAATTAGAGCAGAGACTGCGAGCCAAGCCTTCTCGTTCGACATCAGTACCTGACCTCACAAATGCGCTTCTGGAAGAATGGTCAAACATTCCCATAGACACACTCCTAAACCTTGTGGACAGCCTTCCCAGAAGAGTTGAAGCTGTTATGGCTGCAAAGGGTGGACCAACTCAATATTGAACGGACTAAAATTGGGATGACATTAAAGTTCATGCGTTTGTAAAGGTAGGTGTCCTAATACTTTTGGCAATATAGTGTATCTCTCTCTTAGAAATCAGTCCTTGAGCTTTGGTTTTGTTGTTTTATTGAGGAGATTTTAACTGGGATAGGGTTAGGGGTGTACAGGATGCCCAAGGGTACTGATAAACTGAGGATAGCTTTCTGGAACTATTTACAAGCCTTCTTCTGCAGTACAGTCTCTCTTGGAGAACAAGCCAGCAGCTCCTTAGTTTACCACCCCAAACCCTAGATGAACTTCTCTTCACCCAGCAATCTGGAAGTGTCCCTTTAAGAGCTAGACAGTCACTGGCAGGTGGCTAATCTGGTTTTACACCAGAGTGCTCCTTCCCCTATCTGCCCAGGGGGTTTAGTGGTACTCACTCAGATCCTCTCCTGTACTACTTGTGGTTTGGTGGCTGCTACCAGGCCTATCAGCTGGGCCGCTCCTTCCCTGCCATACAGGTGCTCCTCTCTCAGGGGGCCAATGAGCTCCGAGCTTTCTTCCTTTCCAGCTCCAAGCCTACAGGTAGGCCCCATCCCACTGGGCCTCCTCACAGCCTCCTGCTCTCAGCTTCACATCTTCCACCTGACCTCTCCCTCCAACTCTCCTGCAAATGAGCAGGCTCCAACACTTTAAAGAGTGTGCAGCCCCTTGCCAACCTCTTGTTGGGGATTGGCTAGGATCCATCAGGAGTGCTGAGCCAGCCACTCCTCAGATCCACTCACTGCCTCTATGGCCTTCCTCCAAAAGCCCTAGAGCAGGGGGAAATTCCAGAGGGGCTGGCCTGCAGAGCCTTTCAGCCCTGACCACAATTTGACCCCTCTCTGGCTATTACACCTGGGCTGCTGCTCAGTCCCTGTCTAACCACTGGAGTTTAGCTCCCCCTAGCTAAACTAGGAGGGTGCTACATCTGCATGGTCCACTGTTGTCAGATCACATCACCTTATTCTTCTCTTTTCCAGGAGACAGTTATCTTCCTTGCTCTTCAACCCTTAGGGAAGGGACCTCAACGTCATCACATGCAATGCAGGACCAGAGGGGTTACAGGGAGGATGTCTCTGTGAGTGAGGAATAAGATACATCTTAGATTCTACTGATTTAAAAAGAAGCTGGAGCCAAATGTCAATTAGGGAGCTGGGTGGATCCCGACAATATGGTTAGGAACCTTCTAGAGCCTGGAGCTGCTCTGTGACGTCAGCTGAAAGCAGGAAATAGCCACAGGAGAACAAAAGTAAATGTGACCCACAAGAGAAGTATAGCCAAAAAAGCTTTGGCTATACTTCTCTTTTAACTAGTGGATGTGTACGGATTCATTTTGGAGACTAAGGATATCACTTAGTATCACTTTAAGCTTATATGAGATTTTATTGATTGGGTTTGGATCTACTATAAACCTTTAACAGTAAAAAGTGTTGTAAAAAGTGCAGAGAATCTTCCGAGTTACCCCTTGTATCTGCCCCATACCACCCTCTGAGTACTGTCACTTGGTTTCACCCACGACCCACCTCCCAGCACCACTCCATTTAGAAAATACAGAACCAAGTATCATTTTGTGGTGCTAAGTAAATTGTATGTATTTTGTTAATGATAACAAGAAAAGCAGTAAAATAGATCCCCTGCAGCCAGCAACAATAGACCCCCCCAGCAACAATAGAGTCTCTCAACAACAATAGATCTGCCAGCCACAATATACAGTACCCCCCCCATTCAGCAGCCAGCAACAATAGTCCCATCGCTCAACAGTAGATGTCTCCCAGCAACAACTGACCCCCCTAAGCAAAAAATAGATCCACCACCAGCTACAATAGACCACCCCGCAACAATTGATCTCCCCCAGCAGCAATACATCCCCCAGCAGCCAACAAATATAGACCCCAGCAGCACACCCCAGCCCCCCTTGCCTTCCTCTAATATATTCAGTGCTGGAGGTACTGGAACTACATTTCCCTGTACTCCAACTGAAAAAGGCCCTGTCTACATGATTTAATTTCACTTTGTTAATGGGGCCTAATTATCCCACATATGATAACTTGGCTCCACCTGCTAGCATTCATCTTTCCAAGGACAGTGCCCTTATTTGCCAATGCAATAATAATAATTGCTGGGGTCCTCGCTCAGTTCTTATCCTAGTAAGAGCATCAGGTTTGCATGTTCTCCCTGTGCTTGTGTTTTGTGGGTTTCAGCTAGGTACTCCAGTTTCCTTTCACACTGCAAAGACATGCTGGTAGGTTAGTTTTGTCTATCTAAATTGGAACTACTATGTCTATACATTAGAAGACAGGGACTTTAGACTGTAAGCTTTTTATGGGTAGGGACTGATATAAATGTACAATATGTAAAGTATTGCGCAAATTGTTGACGTTATATTCTAAATACATGAGTAAGTAATATTAGCTATATTTATAGTATATTTTTAGACTTTTAACAAACAAGGTCTTTTATTCCAAAATTGATAGAAACTAGTACCTTTTCAGAGCTTCCAGGTATGAGCAACTGAAATTAATTTTTCCAACATGGATGAAACGCACCTGGAAAGTCTCCAAGACAGCATAAATTAGTTAGGAAATGTCACTTTGTGGTTGCATTGTTCCAGCCTTCAGGAGAATCTTTTCACCCTTACAGTCAGGATGTCTCTAGTTCATTTCCCCTTGCACACTATTACGAAAAACAAGCTGGCCCTGATTCAAACCAAGAAAACTTTGCTGATAGCAGTGTTGGGGGAAAGCATATAATTAATCAGAGCCTTCTACTCCTAAACATAAAGAACACCACATATCAATAACAGGAAACATTCGGAGTATGATCCACAGATAAAAAGGAAAAGACTGAGGTGCACTCGGTGTCTGTGTGTTTAATTTAATATGGGGGGACTCCTCATAATATCACATTAGATATCCCAGAGGAAACAGAGAAGATATGGACTTCTCCACTAATCGGAAGGTGAACATGAGAATATTGGGATGTTCTATTTTTAACACGTAACTTCTGTTTATGTTTTTCTATGGGGTTTTTTTGGTTGCTCTATTAAGTAAAATAAAGCTTAATGTGTATCCAAACTCAAGAACAAAAATGTAATATATTTTAGTTTACTAATCTTTAGAAATGGTGGTTGTTCACTAGTTTTTTTTAGGCTTTTTTCAGGCTTTTTTTCCCCCCTTCATTTTCGCTCACCTGTGACTTGGGTATCCGCTCACTTTGGGTTGCCTGTGACGGCTCTGGGAGTTAGCTTCGTCCCTCAATACTCGGGTCACACTCTGTACCCTCTGGCTGTCCGTCACACAGCTGTGGGCTCCAATGACCAGGGTCTCTCTCTCTCTCTTAGGTGGAGTTTTCTTCACACAATCCTGTCACACTCCTGTCACATCCCTCTCCTGTCAAACTCCTTAGGAACCTTTCCCTATTGCTAATCACTTTCCCTATCAAACAGAGTCTCTCTCCCTACTCTACCCACTTTGAAAAAACCCAGGGGCAGGGACTTAAAAAGGCCCTGCTGACCCAAGTTGGCTTCCAGGGGTCACATCGATGTAGCATAGCCAACCAGAACACTATTGCATGACACAGGGAACCATAGAGAAACCAGGTTTCCTTTGTCTTCCTCTCCAGGCTGTGGTACTACTCGGCTGTACAAGATATTTGTTATCACCTTCCTTTGGTCCAAGCAGTACTGATATATCAGTTGTGGACAGGGTCATATTCACCTTACATGCGGGGTACCTTTTCGAGTGGAGCGTGCTAATCAATGCCTGGGACCAGGCAGAGACTGCAGTCATGTGAAAAATGTAACAGTATGTTCCCTGACTTAGAGATGAGCTTACAGTAAAAATACAGAGTTCCCGGTCCTTACTGGTTTGTTATCCCTCTGCGCACCTGTTCTCTGGCGGGTCTATTCTTCTTCTCTTTCTTTTCTTCCTCCTTCTTCCCTCCCCCCCCCCTTTTTTTTCTTCTTTCTCTCTTCCTTTTTCTTCTTTCTTCTCTTTTCCTGGGCATTTGTTTGATGGAGGGAGAGGGGTGTGTGGACTGCTGATGGGGGGTTCCATCTCTTCTTCCCCTTGGCTGACATCTATTCCTCTTTATGGTGCCTCCTCTCGCAGGTTTTCATTTTTTTTGATGCTCATTGTGTCTTTATTATCTGTACCCTTCGGGGGCCTGACCTTGTTGTACAACCAGGTTACCTGAATGTAACCTTGGATTTTGTCATTGATGATACTTAGCACCAGAATGTTACAGTTTCTGATTGATTCTTGCCCGTCCTATTTTTTTCCCACTCCCCTGCCCTTATTCTGTAATTTTATTTTGTCTTATATCTTACCAATGTTATTGTTTATGTGAATGCCCCTTATTTTTCTTTATTGTCTATAAAACTTTAATAAACTCAGATTGATCATAAAATACAGAGTTCCTTTTAAAACATGGTGTCTCATCCAGTGGTGAATTTAGGTTTTGTGCTGCACTAGGCAACTCAAAATTTAACCCCCTGGAGAGA